GAGATTCTTACGGTTCGAACGTTGCATTGGGTGCTGCCGCTGCTCCCGCAGGCCAGTTGACCCCCGGTGGCTCTAATCCGTCTCAACGCAGTTTATTTGACAGTCCGTATCAGGGTGTGGGGGCTATGGATGCAGGGCCATATCAACGACAGTCCGCCTACAGCACCGCGGGTGACTATCCCCTTGACATAAACCCTGATGAGATCGCCGATGATGGAGATGATGGCTTCATGGCTGCCCCGAATGGCAAGTCTGCGAGTCAAAATGCGAGAGCAGTTCCAGCCGCCGCCGCTGGGGGAGCTGCCGCAGGTGGGCTATTTGGCTTGTTCAAGTCGAAGAAAGTCGATAATCCGTCCTATGGGCCTGTACCGGGAGCAGGTTTGGAGGCTGGAGAAAAGAGCAGATGGACCAAACCTACACCTGGGGGAGGGAGTCGCAAACGTGGCTGGATTGTAGGCCTTGTCTTGGCTTTCATTGTGGTCGGGGCGATTGTTGGCGGTGCTGTCGGTGGTACTCTAGGAAATCGACAGAATGAAGCCCCGGATACTACAAAGTCGGCAACCAGCGATACCGAGTCGAATGGTGACCTCAATAAGGACTCCTCAGAAATCAAAGATTTAATGAACAATCCCGACCTCCACAAAGTATTTCCGGGCATGGATTATACTCCCTGGGGCGTCCAGTACCCGCTCTGTCTTAAATTCCCACCTTCGCAAAACAATGTCACTCGTGACGTGGCAGTGCTATCACAGTTGACCAACACTGTCAGGCTCTACGGCACAGATTGCAATCAAACAGAGATGGTCTTACATGCGATTGACAGACTCGAGCTGAAGGACATGAAGCTCTGGCTAGGAGTGTGGATCGACTCGAACGACACGACGAACGATCGACAGATCAAGCAACTATACAAGGTCCTGGACGAAACGAAAGATATATCTATTTTCAAGGGAGCCATTGTTGGTAACGAAGCACTATATCGGGCGGGCAATGATGTCGCAAGTGCGAGAAAGAAGCTGATCTCGTATATGGACGATGTGAGGAATCACTTCAAAGAGAAAAACTATGACCTCCCCATAGCAACATCCGACCTTGGTGACAACTGGGACCAAAATCTCGTCACGGCTACTGATCTAGTGATGTCTAACGTACACCCCTTCTTTGCGGGAGTTACGGCTAAGGATGCTGCCAGCTGGACCTGGAGTTTCTGGAATGAGAAGGATGTCCCTCTAACGAAGGGCACAAATAAGAAGCAGGTCATATCTGAGGTGGGATGGCCAAGTGGTGGAGGTAACGATTGTGGTTCGAACAACAAGTGTACGGACGATAAATCCGGCTCCGTAGCTGGCATCGATGAAATGAACCAATTTATGTCGGATTGGATTTGCCAAGCATTGGAGAACGGCACAGATTATTTCTGGTATGTTGCCCCATTTACGTTTCAGATGGACCGTATTCTAACAGATTTTCTAGGTTCGAGGCGTTCGATGAGCCGTGGAAGATCCAGTATAACACCAAGGATGAGAATTGGGAAGACAAATGGGGCCTTATGGATGCCGCGCGCAAGTTGAAGCCAGGGCTCAAGATTCCCGATTGTGGCGGTAAGACAGCCGCATAATTGATGGCTCCATTGATTCTGTCGCCCCTCATGATCTTTCCTACGATTCTCACGAACTCCCTTTCCTCTCTCCCCTGTCTTTCCTTCCTATCCTTGATGATAACGACCACATTCCTTTTTATGATGCAGTATAGGCTTGCAAGGATACGCTTTGGTGTTGCATTCTGCTCTTGGGTTTGTAATTTAATGGATGGTTGAAATGTTTGATTGATGCTTTATTTGATATCTTCTTTCTGTGTGAACTATTGAGAGTGGTTCTATATTGCATATGCATGCCTGGATGATGGCTGGAAGAGTGTCATTGTGTATATATCTCCTGAACGCTCGACGTTGGTGGGGTGTTTCAGACTTTTGCAAATACTACTTTCAATTCAGCATCCATCTGTTCGTTGATAGAGATATTCAGTCGTTGTATTATACTCCTATCCAGTTCGTCTAGACGGAAATCATAAATCGTATCATACCGACGTATTTACAGTGAGTATTAACAATACGTTGTCTTCTCATCTATTGCTCATCACTCTTATGTGAATATAGTCTCATATTCCAGAACGCATGTTCCATATCTTCGAACCGCGGGATCCTAACAGACTTCGTTGATTCCATGAACTGCTTCACAGCCTCCGACTCGATGTCTTCTAATGGCCCACCAAAAACCAGTGTAGGCGCGTGCAAAAGAAGTTGTTCAAGGTGTGTCCGTTCCGCGCCGGGGCAGTAGAGGAGAGTTCCAGGACAGACTTTTTCGAAGCCATGGGGGTGGTCGAGAACAGCAATGTCAAGAGAAGCGAGCAGGGATTGGTCATGGGTATTGAACACAGGGTCCTGAGCGCAGACTTCGAGATTCGGAATTGATTTCTCTAGCCAGAAAATGTCAGCGTGCAAGATATTTACCCGCATGTAGAAGCGCACGAAGAAGCTCGAGGACGTAAGACTCACTCAGGCGATCCACAACGCTCACCAACCCGGCGAGCTGATACATTGATACGCTCCTTCTATCCACCCAACCACCCTTCAGAAACCCACTCGGACTTCCCAGTCCAATACAGACAATGCGATCCACTTTCACTGTGGCCGACGACAGTGCAGTCTCGACCACCCTCCAACTCTCCGACCCCTCCCATCGCTGCTGATACCCTCGGAATTGTGCTTGGAGATCTTCCAAATTCAACTGTGCCGGCGCTTCGGCGGGAACAAGGATCTGGGACTGTTCGCCCTGTTCTGGGTTGTCATGGTGCTGTTGGGTGGTACGTAGAGCTCGACGGGCGCTTTTTCCGCCCGTGGTGACGTGCGTCCAGCCGCTGGGGTCGGTGACTTCGAGACGCTTATGGTGCTTGAGGTTTCTCTTGCGATTGCTGTGGGGCATTATTGCAGGGATTCCAACTGGGATTTCGGGTCGGTGTTGAAATCGAGGACATGGTGGTGGTGGTGCGATTGATGAATTGATTAATCGCGATGCGGGCGGTCAAGAGTGGGATTCGTTATCTTATCGGGGATTTTGATCAGCTTTGCCCTTCTACTCCTCCCAACGGTTGATCTTCCTCATTGTATCTTGCGGTACTCTAAGTGTCAACATGATTCTTTCTGGGCGACAACGTTGCTGATTTTCGATGTTACTTCGACTGTGCTCGTCTGTCCAACACCCTGTCCGCGGGTTTTCTCAGATGATCTCTCTAAGCGCCCAGCCTTTGATAGCGGCTGTGATGTGCCTTTGTTAGCGTCCGATTAGGGGCGCTTGCAGGACCGGCCTTCCACGAATGAGATGGCGAATCACGCTGCCAAAAGTGATGCCTCCTGCAGTGAGCGTCTTGGAGCTCCGCGCCGGTCCAATCCCAGGCGTGGACCTGCCGTTGACTCCTCTCGCGCACATCCAATGCCATGCTGCAGCTGTCAAAGGTTTTCACAGAGTTTTGTGTCGCATTCCCCCATCTGCGGGTTGGATCACATCGCTCTTCTGCGTCCTCACTCGTCCGACATGATCACCTCCTCCCCACTGAGCCTGGAGGCGAGCGCGATTGCAGGATTTAGACCATGCGTTGTGCCCCTCAAAAAGTCTTGTCTACCCGCCCATCCTCCTTCAGTTGCTGGAAGCTTGTTTCGATGATGATCGTGGTAAACGATTAAACTGCTCGCATATTGGTTGACGTCGTGCTGGCTTGGATCTCTGGATGCGTTTCTAAGTTGAGAGAGCTCAGGAGAGTTTCGTATCTCTGCGCTCTGGCGTCGTCGCTTTCACCTTTCTTTTCCCTTCCTTGATCGACATCTCTGTCGAGACTTACACCGAACACCATGAGGACATCCCAATCATCAGTATCGCGATGGATGGCCTTCCTCCTTCTGTGTCTGGGCTTGGCAAATGCCCACACGGTCATCGTTTATCCCGGCTATAGGGGGAACAACTTACATACAACCGGCACTGTTCAAGAAGCCAACGGCCTCGGGGCAGCTATGAGCCCCAACGCAACGAACAATAACTCCTTAATATACCCTTATGGACAACAATGGATCTATCCTTGTATGATGACCCAGCAACAGTCTGAATAAGTTGTTATTCTGTTAACAATCACTCATCCTACAGGCGGAGGGATGCCCACAACAACGAACAGAACCAAGTGGCCTGTCGGCGGCGGCGCGGTCTCCTTCCAACCTGGCTGGTTCCAGGGTCACGCCACAGCATTCATCTACATCAACTTGGGCTTGGGCACGGTGCCCGAGAATATGAGCCATCCCATGATCCCACCTTTCCAAATCAACGGTCCTTCCAACGATCCGTACCCGGGCACAGTTTGCTTGCCACAGGTCCCGTTGCCGGCCAACATCAGCGTGAGTCCAGGCGACCATGCTACGATTCAACTCGTCGAGACGGCCAAACATGGCGCCGCTTTGTACAATGTATGTTATATGTGCCTTGTGTATTCTTCATGGATATGTGCTGATATGTTTGCAGTGCGTGGATATCGAGTTCGCGGAACCCGAAGACGTCGCCGAGGTCACCCGCGAGAACTGCTTCAACTCGAGTCATATCAGCTTCTCACAGATCTTCGCTGCGACGTCGCTGACGTCGGGTGCTGTTGCACAGGGTGCAACGAGAGGGACGTTTGCGACGTTATTAGCTACTCTAGTAGCGGCTGTGATGGGTGCTATGATGATGTAAATGCTGATGTTTATTTTACCTCTCCTAATTGCGCAGGCTTGTTATGTTGTCTTCACTCGTACATACCCAATATAGTTACCCTTTTCTCACTGATGTCTGTAAATCAGCTTAGCATAGTATATGGCATGATTGAGCGAATCAATGTGACATTCTACATTCCTATAATCTACCTTCTACCTGTCTATCATCAACTAGATAAGCCACCACTTCATCACCCAGATAGCAGATCAGCTACAGCCCCCGTAACAGCTCCAAAACAACCTCGACCACAACCTCAGGGCATTCCTGCGGCGCCCAATGTCCAACCCCATCCACCAACCTCAGCACTCTAAAGTCCGAACAAACCCTCCCATCCACCATCTTCTCCAAAGCCCCCGGCTCCTGATAAATCCCCCAATCCGCCTTCCCCGACACAAAAGCCGCCGGCACCTCAATCTTGCGGCCAGCATACACATCAAAATCCCCAGTATACCTCCCGCCAGCAGCCGTCCTCACGCGATACCAATTCAGCCCGCCCTGGAACCCCGTGCGCGCATACTCACTCACATAAACCGCCAACTCCTCATCCGACAACCACGCCTTCGAAGCCGCAACCGCCCCCTCCGACTCCGACTCCATATGCCTCCGCACCGCCTCCCGCATATCTGCCTCCAACGGCATCACATAATAATACGGCAACTTGACCAAATCCTCCGCCGTCCACCCTTGCAACGGAAACGGCCGATTCCCACCCCCAACACCCACTCTTCAGATGAAAGTACCCGCGCAGGAACTCCCCAAGCCCCTCCACCGGCTCCACCATCTCCTCATTTGCAGGCTCCGTCGAATAATACCACTTATAGTGCTTCCTGCCGCGCGCCGCAAGCTCGCCATGCACGTGGTCCCCCGCCGCGGACTCCGCCCCTCCACCACCACCACCACCACCACCACCACCCTTCTTCTCCGCTACCTCCCCAGAAGAGGAAGAGCCACTGGCAGCAGTCCCAAACGGCAAAACCGGACTCCCGTTAAACGGGTGGCTGAGGAGCGCGACACTCTTGAAGAAATCCGGCCGCACAAGCGCACACATCGCCGCCGTCACGGCCCCAAGGTCGTGACCCACCACGCATTGCACGGACCGGTACCCCAGCGCGTGCACGAGCGTTACCATGTCCCGCACGACACTCGTCAGCGTGAAGGTGTTCAGATCGACCTCCGAGAAGGGCCGGGTGTCCCAGCCTGTTGTGCGCCCGAAGCCGCGCTGGTCCGGCGCCACAACGTGGTAGCCGGCTGCGGCGAGTGGGGGGATCACTTTGCGCCATGAGAAGGCGAGCTCGGGGAAGCCGTGGAGTAGCAGCAGCAGCGGGCGCGGCGTGCTGGGGTCCGGGTTGGATTCGAGGATGTGGAAGGTTAGGGTTTTTGTGGGGATTAGGCGGCTGGTTATGCCTGCGGGGAGGGGGAGGGGGGTCGTCATTTTTTTTTTTCTTTCTTTCTTTCTTTTTTTCTTTCTGGGTTGGGTTATTTGGGGTGGTGTTGGGGTTTGTGGATATGAAGTGTGTTGGTGTGTTGGTGTGTCGGCTGTTTATACTTGGGGGTTGGTTATGTGTCACTTGGAGAGTGTAGATTAGCCACATTGATTACCCGAGGGGTAAGATGTCACATGTAGGTGTCGGATGAACGGGGCTGTTATTGTGGGCATATAGGACTGATTACGAGTGTTCTCTCTAGGATGTCGCTATGCATTTGTAAGAAGCTTATTTTCTATAGTTTCTGTGACCTCGGTTGTTTGGGATACTGCAGACTGTGGAGTATAATGCCTTAACTCCACCTATGACATCACATAAGTGTTTGGTTCCTAGTTGAAGCCTGAAGAACTAGATCCTCATGTATAGATATATACAACTGTTTATTTAACTATCGTCATATGCCGCGCTATGCTTGTAGACTGTATTGGGGAATGGGCTGATGTACCCTTAATCAGTTCGAGGTCTTAGGCAAACAATACTACTTTCTGAAAAAGCTTATCGATATACCCCAACTATAAATGAGGCTTTGCAGGCCGCTTAGTATCCACTGGCTCCTTCATATACTTCATCCACTGTGCCGATAGGACCCTCCCGTCCTGTCCTGACTTCCCGCTGTCATGCTGGCATTCCCAAAACAATTTTTCTTTCAAGTACAGTTCCAGTTGTGCCTCCAGCCAGAGCGATATCAGCCGCGCTGTATCCTGCACCTTCTCCAGCGGCGCCATATGGGACGAGCCTGGGAGGACCTCGGCGTGTGCGCGTCCGGCTGCCACGCCTCCGCTGCCCCCCAGCCCCGTCCCGATACGCTCGAGTTTATCCCGCCGCCGCGCAGGAATATTAATATGGCTCTTCTCCCCGAAGACAAACAAAACTGACGGCCGCACGTACGGTAGAAACTCAAACGCAATGCACGACCACGGGCACACAGTTACGTAGTTCGGGTTGTGATTATTCCCTTCCTTTGCCGTAACGGCGAGATCGGGATTTAAGAAACGCTCCATGATATCGCTACCCGCGTGTGGGGTGGGATTGAACCGCAGATACGTCCAGGCCTCTTGCGCCTTGGTAGTCGTGAGTATTACGGTTCCCGAGGACGACGTTGGAACGCGCCGCAGCCCGAATCGAATGTACGCATTCACTGCCCTCGGATCCCATCGGCGCCAGAATGCGTTCCTGCGAATGTGAGTCTCCGCGTCTTGCTGGGAGGGCCACGCATCGGTGCGGGAGCTGGTCCACAGAGCGGGACTGGGGCCCCCGGGCTGGCTGGGACTTTCCACTTGGATCATGGGCTCCAGGAAGACATGACTGTGTATAAGGCGGGGGTGCATGATCGATAAATGCACGAGTTGTGAGCAGCTGAAGCTATGGGCGACTCCTACGATCGGAGGTTGGATCTGGTCTCGGAAATGGTTGACCATGAGTAAGAGATCTCGGGAATGATCGAACCAGTTTGCTATTGAGTTCATATATATCGTGAGCAAAGAGACTGGTATTGGGCTTTCTCTCAATGGGTAGTCGCTTACGGTCGTCTCCGAGGATTTGCTCATTTAGCACCCCGCTGGCCCCTTGATGAGAACAGTCGGCCATCCAGATTGCCTTGATTTTCACGTGGGTCAATCTGAGGAGATCATCCCAGATGGGCTCATAGCACTCCTATAGAAGGGGTCGGATCTTAGCAAATGTAGGTGCGGATGGGGAAGCCCACACTCACTTTGGGGATTCCATTGGCATGTCCAGCAATGATTGTAATATCATCTGGGCTAGGGTTGAGGTTGTTGAGCGGAATGTATTGCTTGACTGCTAACTGCAATGGAGGGTCGACTCCTTTCACTGCATGATGATACTCTCGAATGGATTGACACGGGATGGTGTGCTCTTTGACCTGGAACTGAGAGGTTGTCATCATGGCAGCTTGATCTATAATTCCTTAGCCTCCCTGGATAAAAGGGAGACAACAAGGAGAGAATGGTGGGGAAGAAGAACCCGTCGTTTATTTTCCTGACCCCTGTAATCTCTCGGGAGAGCCTACCAGGGCTGAGCGTTAGTACTAAGCACTAATACTAACTAAAGGGCTCTCAGGAAGACTTTTCAGCCCATTCGTCTCGGTCACTCAGTTTTCTACACCTCCAAAGGCTTAGCTTCTACTGTTTCTAAAGGCGGTTTCAGATACTCTATTACCTCGATGTATAACTGTCTCCTGTATCTAAACATTATAAAGTGGTTTGTATGAAGTACGAAGAACTAGGATCCCACTCGTAGACCAAGTTCCATTATACCATTTCCTATTGCTAGGTGCTATACTGGGCCATTGTTAGAAATCCCCAATATAACCTTCTAATTTGTGGCCTGGGGTGACATCGTCGACCAGCCACCTGTACACTCGGCATTGCATCTACTCGATTTGATATGACTGGCGGATCGCCTGGCCCAATCGCTGAATGGCAGTGCCCATCGCTTCCTCACTGGCGCTTGCAAATGTTGTGCGAAAGAACATCCCACTCGCAGGCGTGTTCGGCTCAGCGCGGAACCAGGCACCGCGAGTACAAAGGACGCCATTGCTAATACCCTGAAGGAAGATCTCTTCCTCAAGCTCTTCGATGGAACGACTGGGGTATTCTGGGTGTTTTGTATGGTCTACCTTGAGCCAGAGCTGCAGTAGTGCGTCAGTGAATGTTCAAGGAACTTATAAGAGCAACTAGTTGTCGTTCTTCAAACCAAGGAGATAAAAAAGAAAAGAAAAGAAAAAAAAAAAAAGAAAAACTTACAAACATCCCAGCTGTGGGTGGTGTCCAACTAACAATAGCTTTGGGCAAGAACTGCTCGCAAGCGGCAAGCAGCATATCCCTCCTACTGGTGTAGTTGTTTTTCAAATCCATCAGCCATTTCAGGTATCCTTCATGTCCCCAGGTCTCATCAAGCAGCTTCCAGAGCATGAGTTGTGAGATCCCACTTGGGCCATGGTTGGCGACCTCAGCGTGGTTGATATATCGGTCGACGACTTGTGCGCTGGCTGTAATCCATCCCAACCTTGATCCTGGCATGAGTACTTTGGAGAAAGAATCCATACGTAGTACTCGGCCGTCGACGTCAAGGCTTAGATACGAGGGGACAAGCCCGGTCAGAAAAGATTCAATATCTTCGGGAGACTTTGCAGCGGTGCCCTTGCCTTGGTAGGGAGGCATTTGAATGAAGTAGTATGGTTCATCTTCAATGATGTAAATGTCATGCTTCTGGCAGATTGCGTAGATTTCGCGACGTCGCTTGAGGCTTTGGGTCGCGCCCGTCGGGTTCTGTCCTGAGGGAACAGTATATAGGACATGTGGCTTTCGGGCGCCACGGACCTTTTCATCCCAAGAACTGAGAAGGCCATCCATACTCTCCGGTAAGAGTCCTTCTTCGTCCATTTTGATGCCAAAGGCTTTAATACCCTGGGGTGCAAAGGTTTCAAGTGCGCTGGAGAAAGTATACTCTTCTGTAAGGATGGAATCATTCCGTCCACGGTCACAAAGCATGCGGACCGTTTGCTCAAGGGCACCGGTGCTTCCGACCGTCAGACAGACTTTCCAGTCGGCATAGGGCGGGTTGGAGACTAGCTCGGTGTGCTCGGTAATGAAGCGTGTCATCTGGGGCGAACCCGTTGACTGCCCATAGTTCAGTGCGATAGAGAGGTCATACTCGGAGAGCTCATTATTAACGTCATACTTCCCAATGTTTACAGTCTGGACTGTAGGACTGTCGGGCGATAACGCATCTTTCTCGGCAAAATACGGCGGTTTGGGCACACGAAGTGTACATTCATAGAGCGGAAAGTATTCGCTGGAGGGGAGCCCACCCCCAAGAGAAATCAGACCCGGGGTTTTGAGGTAGCCAGCGGTTTGTTGAAGCACACAGGGCAATCGTGCCTTGCATTCCGAGCTAAAATGGGCTTAAGGATTTAGTCAGCAACTGAAGGTATTCAAGATCATGAGGGAATTGAAGCCTCACAGTCCCAGCACTTAGCCTTCGGTTTTCCAGATTCCTAGCTTTCGTGTTAGAGAATTTAAGATGAAGCTTGAGTAGGTGGTCTCACCTTAGCCTTGAACAGGTCACTATTAGATTTAGCAGCCACGCCAGCGACGAGCTTGCCAGCTTTGGCTCTTCTTTCATAGATCTCGTTCAGAAGTCTCCATTTTTCAGGAACTTCTGTGCAAGACGATTGAGTTGCAGAGTGGTCCATTATAATATCGACCGGAGACCCGTTCGTAGAGGCGCTTCTGTCGTCAGATTTGATAGCTCAAGAAGCGGCTCAAACATTGTGAGCGAGCCCATTTCCGGGGGGCAATTGAATATTTAAACGACGCATATTGTGCTGTTCGCTCATGGTTCGAAACCGGAGGTCCCTTGAAGTCGGTGAAGACCCAGTACGTGGTCTGGCGCGAGATAAGCCTTAAGGCGCAGTTTAGTGGAGAATGCGCCCTAAGGCTAGCTTATCAGAGCCCACTCAACCCATTTTCAGCAAATAACCAACAAGCCTGTATCAGAATAAGCTCGAGTTGCCCCACCTAGCCTCTCGGTTTCCTCTTACTCATTTTACGAGTACATCGGAAGAGCGATGTGCCTTTAAGAGGGTGCAGCCGTGCAACATACTCTGAGCCCCACTGAGTCACCGCGCTCATATCACGTGTAAAGAAATCAGTTCGGATAAACGGTGATAATCTAGAATATTCGGGAAGCTAAGTATAAAAGTCCTTGTGGCGCTGCACTGGAGAGCATCAATCATTTACCATTCAAATCGGTGGAAGGCACTGCCTCCGAAAGGCTGCCAACCACTCGTTATTATCTGCTACGGTTTGCTCCCATGCATCTTTATCTCCATATACCAGCCGCCGGGATTCATCTTGAAACATCTTATCGGTAGGAAAGATACCGTTTGCGATACTCTGTTGTGCGAAACGGCCTAGGCGGAAAGTCACCCATCTCATATAAGATGTAGGTGTGAGGTCGAATAACGGGTCACCCTCCGAGGCGACAGCATCCAGTTGTTGATCTGAATATATCTCTCCATTCCGTTGATAGATCTGGGACAAATGATCGAGTGTCGCAGGGTCGGTCGCGGAGAACGGCACCATGCTCTTAGCTTCAGACGCCAGGAGGTAAGGGGGGAAGGCATTCTTGATTTGAGCCGCAATGGATGGCTCAAAGCAATGATCGCCTTTCCAGTCGCTCATGGTCAAGCCCTGCCGGAAATGACCCGCCAAATGATCGGCACGAGCCTGCCATGAAGGTAGCTTTTCATCACAGAAACCACACCGAGAGGTGACTAAGGGGGGCTCCACCTTCCAGTCTTCAATGGTTGGTAAAGTCTTAAGATTATGAAATCCTCGAAGGTGCTGTACAAGGTGGTCTTTTCGTCTAAAGAAACGAGGTTCTTGAGCGCTACGGCAAGCGCTATGGTTATGGCTCTCCAGATGATCGTCAGTCGGATCGAGCAAATTGCAATAAGCACAGTGGTTTCTGCCTGTCGAGGACAATATTGAACCGCCATATGGGGCACAAGCCCATTGGTCGACGTTTAAGTGGAGTGATTTTTCGTGGCGAGTCCAATCATGCTTCCTTCGAAATGTATCGCAACAGAACGTACAATGAAACATCCGAACGTCGCTTGTCTGTACGGCAATATCATTGCGTGTCTTTCTTACTCGGCCTCTGAACTTGGGTACTGGACTTCGGCGGCTGACTGATTTCGATGATCTGGTCGATGCAACTGAGCTTGAAGAGAGACTAGTGCCGCTCTGAAGGCTTGCGATAGATTCCGCTCTTCCACCTGAGCTCGAACGTACATGCCTACGAGTAGACATTGTACGCAAGGCATCCGCTATAGCCGACAAAGATGCTGCTTCGGTTTCTGGGGGACTCTCGCGCCATCTCTGCATCGGATCCATACCGCTCTCTGATAATATAGATATGGGCGTTGATAAAGAACTTCCAGTTAATCGGCTGCGACTGTTACTTCTGCTGCCAGATAGACTTGCATTTGAGCTATCAAAATCTCGTGAAGCCATGTCGGGTTCAAAGAAACTCAGGTTCTGCGTCGATGTTACGCTAGGTGACTGTTGTAGCTGTCCATCGTAACCACTGATAAATTGCGGCTTCTGCAACTCCGCTGCATTCCAGATGTCAATATCGTGGGTATCGTAAAAGCTGTAGGACGACCCATCATCCAGAAAGTCGTTCAACTGCGTCTCGGGGAGCGCAGCCTCTTCATTGAGAGTGCCGATATCGAGTGGTGCATGTTGCATATATCCAGGGAGGGATGTTATGTGGTCATCAGATGTCACATAATTCTGATAGGTATTGTCCCCCTGCAGCAGAGCCGACAGAAGACTGTGGGGTGCTTGAGCTACAGATACTAGTTAGGGGATACCACTTTCTCGCAGGGGATTATTTTGATGCTCACTATCAGGATACACACTATCAAAGTTAGTGATATTCAGGTCACCCTGAGAATCCATGGGGTGCTAAAGTTGTGCGGGGAGGAAGTAGTCGGATTGAAGGCGGAGGAAAAGTCACTAAGAGTCAACTCGGCGACTCGGCCTTTTGCGCTAGTCTGCCCCACCGAACCGTTGATGAATTTATTTATCGATAAGGTCCACGTTTATCGATGACTTAACCTAATCTCACTCATCTCGAAAGTACCCCTGTCCCCAGTAGAACCCATGCGCCAAAATCCACACGCAGACAGCTGCTACAGCTACATTTCGAATGCTCCTCCCAACACCGTCCCTCCATCCCCTCGCAGCAGTCCTCATAAACTGTGCCCCCGTATGAACAACCGGAAATGGTTCCTTGGGCTCCTCCACCTCCAGAAAATGGCACAGAGGTCCCCATCCTTCCTGCACTTGATACTCCAGCAGTCGCTCTGGCGGCACAACCTTCCGAACATAATTGTAGTGCTCGACGAACATCTCCAGGCATCTCTTTCCTTCATCTCCTCCCCAGATCTCATCCCACAGAGTAATATGATGCTGCACGATTGCTCCTGCGTAGTGCGGATCCGTGTATGCCAGGATTCTCCAGGATGGCCATCGCGCGGCGGCGAATACAGTGTCTTGCATTGATTCGAGCCATCTGTGTGGATCGCGGTAGTTTAGTATGACCTTTGCGGTGGGGTAGGCGGCTATTAGTTCGTCAACCAGGAGGCAGCAGGGGGTGTCGATGATTGCCTATTAGCTCCTTCTCTCAGACATGAAGGGAAGTACAGAGAGCTGAAGGGTAAGGAATGGGGTGCGGTACGTCAAAGTCACTGGTGAGCTGGTCCATCTCGTCGACTTCGAGAGGATAGCCACGGCCCAGGTATTTCGCTTGGAGGCCTTCGGTCCACCGAGGGAGGTGACCGAGCATACATCGGTCAGGCCAGTCGTAGGGCTTGTATCCCAATTTTTGGAGGGCGGCTGTGAGAGCTGTTTGGTGGTTGTTATCTTGGTATTCCAGGGGACTGTGGGGGGCTTGCTACTTACATGACGTGCCGGTGCGGGCTAAACCAAGGATCAGTACTTTCATTTCCCGGCTTCGGGGTTCTCGATCGTGCGGAAGGTTAGCCATTATTGATGGGCAGTTTTTAGTGAAACTTGATGGGTAGGTTCAGAGAATCTTTCTGCAAAGGTGTAGTGAATTATAGTACGAGGGGGATTGGCAATTGAAGGCAGATATGGTCACACAGTTCTCACGTAGCCTCCGCTAGACAGGTTTCACAGCGATAATACAACCCGAGACCCTCAGCCTCTGGCCTGGGGATATCGATGAGAAAAGAGATCGGTTAGTCTGCAGAAATACGAAACCTTAAATACATCTGTCTAGTAGGATGGCACGCAGATTGCACTCAGCGACCTGTCCTGTCTCGTTGTAATATGAACTGAAGTAGTCAGAATGAAGTATTTTCGGATCTTTACCTCGATTGTTTCACTCAATTTAATTCAGAGAGGTGGCTGACCTTGGCCACCGTAAGCTTAAACAGATAATTACCATTGGCCAATTCCATGGGACGCCTGTCATATGACAGCAACCAAATGAGGCCCTTGTTGAAACTCGGAATGGGGCGACCAGAGGCTTGATTTTCTGTGGTTCTGGTTATTTCTGTAGAATGGTGTCCTGGCTGTACTTCAGAACACAATGCGTGGCAAACTATTATCCTCCTAATCGATGCTTGACACGCATAAGAAAGTGAAGCCGCTAAATGGCATGCATCTCGTTCTATCCAATTTTGGCTATAGCTAGTGTCTGAAAACCCAGCATCAATGATTGTATAACAATTTATACTTTGAACCCGGGGAGTTCAAGAAGTCGCACTATCATTAAACAAACACATTACCAAGTAATAATTGGTTCCTAGTAGCTTGGTAGAAAATGATCCCATGATTATCATTGAGTTCTACCTCGTAAAGCCGACTATGGCACCTCTGCTAACGTCATGTCTAGCCCCTTGGAAGGAGCATTGAATGGTAGGACGAAGCTGTAAGCTTACTCAAAGTTAGCATATGAAGTTGGCTATTTGCCTGCTCCATTCCCTTGGAGGCCTCTTTAACAAAAGTTGTCATAATAGAAAACCCCTCTATATAGCATATCCTATCAATTTATGGCCGCAGGGTACATAATAAGATTTCGAAATGTCTTCAACCGTTGAATATTGTCTAAAACATCGCTCCACAGCTGAGATTAACACGTATCCTGATTCTCCTGCTAATGGCGCGTTCTCAGAACTCCTTCTCCCTGCTATTATAGTGCTGAACAAGAGATATTACCCTAATAAACATGGATCCGCAGCTACAGTGGGAACTGAGGCGTTATCGATGTCCGTCGTACAGGCATTCAAGAGCATGAAGGTCTTTTGTGGCATCATCCTCTACCAAAGGGACGAGACTATTGATGAACCATCCATAACCATCCAAGTTATTAACTTCAATCCATGTGCGATACTCGCGTTCAATTTTAACATGAGCACCCCTAGCGTAGAAAAGGCCATGGCTCTTGCCGCTAGCACTCTCATGGAGAACTCTGGCTTCGAAGGCACTCCCATGCTCTATCATCAGACAGATACCCTTCTGGAATATCATCCCTGTGATTTGCCATTTTGTGTCACTCATCATGCCCCATTCCATCGGCATTTCTCTGAGGTTTTCTCTGAGGAAATGGCAGCTCACGCGTACGGGGATGCAGGCAAGGCGGAGCACCTGGCACGAAAGCAAGAAATAGGGTTAAAGCTTCTCAAGCGCCGGGGAGATGGCCACGTGCTGCAGATTTCACGTTTACAGAGGAAGCTTCTCTTGTCTTACGGGGTGAACGCAGCGAAGATCAGGGAGATATGTCCTTCCATCCAACTCTCTAATCCAAGCTACCATGTCGAGAGCGAAATTGCGGAGATATTCAACACCGACCGGATTACGCTGTTCACGGCAGTTGCTCGAGTTGATTACTTCAAGAATGTTGATCTCCTCGTTGATGCAGCGGTAGCTTTGTGGTCACAGAATGTCGCTGTGAGACTCTTTATCGCCGGAGGTGCCAGCATGGACAGCGTCGAGCTCCACGAACTGAGCAACAAAGTTCCCAGGCAGTTCGCTCAGTATGCAACTTTCAGATCCAAACTATCTCGAACATCACTTCATGCTCTGCTCCGCCTTGCAAAGGATAGGGGGGTTTTCATCTGTACCTCTCGCTATGAGACACTGGGAGTCACACCCTTGGGGGCAGCCCTAAGCGGGGTGACCACGCTCATCGCCGATTCAGGTCACGTTGAGGCGTCAAGATATTTTCCAGAGAGATATCGTTTTCGGCCAGTCAAAGAGGAACTATGTCAAGTGATTTCAAACTTACAAAGTCGAAATTTGGCGTCTTTGGGAGAGGTGCTTCGATGCCATGTGGAAGCTCACGTCTCCGATCAACGATTCCAGATGGACTTGTATAATGCTTGGGCAGAATTTTCGCTGCAGTCGAATCCTATGCACCTCGATGACTCCCATGCCAGGGCAATGAATTGATCTAGATACAGCAACTTGTTCGTCTTCATATTGGTCTGTTCTGCCGGAGGATCACTGAGTGCTGAGGCCAAAACCAGGCCCTCTATTCATTTTATCCGCGAGGAATGGTAGTCAAACACAAATCATCACTATGCCTCTCAAAAAAGAAAACAATAAGAATCCACTAAACATAGCAAATCTTACCGCTGTCCTTCTAGTTGAACCTACGCGGTATCCTATATCTTTGTTCGTCTGGTGTCCTTTCACTCTGTCCCGCAATGCCTTATCATTGGGTACAGCCTCACACATTCTTTCAATTAGTATATGTACCTATGTTTGGATAATCAGACTGTGACTGGTGAAAATCGAGTATGTAAAATCCTAAACTGATCTGAGTCGAGGATCCCAACAAACGTCAACAACCACATCAGATGAAGCACTCGTCTCGATAAGTAAAATGTCATTGCAGGGTCTACATGTTGCAAAAGGTAGGTCGAAGGCCAGGTAATGTTGATACTCCAATTTGCCAATGTAAGAAGGATCTTGTTGTTCATCGTGAGATGTTCATTCCTATTTTCCTCACAGAGAGTGGTGTAGACCGGGCCAAGAACCACTAGTGCCACCTACTGAAGATGTCTCCGCCCCGAAATGCTAAGCGCCTCGAATCAAGCCGCCGCTGTGTATTCTGAATACAGCCGTCGATGGCCCTAAACCCTAGCATGGATCCTATACCAATGACTAGCCATGAGTCGTCTTACCAAGTTTCATCAAGGAAAGTCTTGGCAATGGAAGAATGCCAGACAATGAAAGTCATATCGATAATTTCAACCGATATTCAATTGGAAACACGTTGCAGCCGGAAAATTATCTGCAACAAGCGAACCGTAGTTTCTTGTCCAGGAGTTTAGATTGAGACCAATGACCCCTTATGGAGTCTTCTAAACTTCAGATATCAGCGCTACTCAGTACTCCGGAGTACATGAAGCAACTCTAACCATAGGTCATTGTTTCTTAGTGATCTCGTAGCGAATTTCTCCTTACTAACGAAATCGAATAGCGCCGAATTATTTACAAATAGACTCTCATTTTGTAGGTATTTACTGTGTATCCCATGTAGTGGGGATTCCCTTGCCCTTCTACGAAAATCCGATATGATGTATAAAAACGTTATTCTCGGGAAATAGATCAACCCTTACAGGGAGTTTAAATTTGTTTTCCTCGAGCTAATACTGTTTAATTAATGTATGCAACAATAATAAAAAAGTTCTATGTTCCTGCGGTTGGTTTCTGTAGGTGACAAAAACTAAAATTACTCAGGGTCCAAAAAAAACACAACCTTAAAAAACCCATATTTATCCGTTAGTTTCGTATTGATTGCCCGATTTGCAACTCCACCGTCATGACGCAAGTTCCAGACTTTGTTCCTTTTGCTCTCCGCTCCCTTTACTCGTTACTCGTGCTTCTTCCTTCGACCACTGACTTCATCATTTTTACTTGGACACGGATTAACTAAAAGCAAATCCATGGGGCATTGGCTTCCTTTCTTAACCTTGTTTTAGCTCTTACTTGGCGAACCCCTCGAACTTCTTCCACTCACCGGTTTTTATTTCCTTGTGTTCCATCCCTCTCTTCTCAGTCAACAACGCAGAACCCGTCAAAACAGTCGCATTCTTTTCAAAGGCCCCAACCATTCTTTTTGCCGGGGAGAGAGGAATAATTACTCTTAACCCTGCGTGTCTGCCTGACGGCGACACGTTCTAGGGGTTTTGGTCTTGGTCCGCCAAAATGTTCCGGAGACGAAGGAGCACGTCGCATCATCAGGTATGGCAAGCTAGTCTAACACCATGAACAACTAATAACTAATGTCTATCTCTAGCAGCCCCTTTCGACATCTAATGCGCAATCGGCGCAGTCTGCCGCCTCCCATGCCTTCCTCCAGTCTCAGCCGTCCTCATCGAGTCTTTCATCTGCCGCCGCTGCCGCTGCCTTACGGAGTCTCACCCCCACTCCGACTCCAGTGGGAAATGTTCAGACAAAGCGAATGATCCAGCGGCGCGCCTCCATCACCTCCCAGTCTAGTATCACTGGCAGCTTGCGCCCTTCTAGCCAAAATACCCTTCGTCGAGCTAATAGCTCAAGCTCTATGAGCAACCGGACCTTCCGGGATCAATCCCCTCGCCGTCCGGCTTCCAGCTCCGGTCCAGTTCCCATCGCCCCTCCTCTCCCTTCGATCCCCCGGGAATATGCGACTCGGACACCCCCAAATCGGCGCTCAGTTAGTGTCGGACCGACCTTGCGACCAACGTCACCTGTGAAACGGCAGCCATCAGGTCGAGGAGTGAGCGTTGACCCGGCTGCCAGAGGCTCCGTTAGCCAGCCATCAGCTCGCGGCCACGAATTGGACCATATACCAGAGCTCCAGAGAGCTGGAAGTAGAAATTCGATCAACTTCTCCTATCCGATGAACTCTCGGCCCAACTCTCCGGCCTTGGCTTCTGAGCCCCTTGACAGACGGGACACTTCGGCTTGTGCATCCCTAGCTGGCCAATTATCATCCCCGGATTCCCCGAGGACTCAGAAATCCGCTCTGCAGACTGCCAATACTTCTGCACGGAGGAAGACAAGGGGGGTTCTCTCGAGCAGTCCTGGGAGAAGCGTCCAGCCGGTAGACACCGCGGTCCTTGCAGCACAAGCAGCAATCGTGCCCCGAAGCGAGGAAGCGGCATATCAGTCATCCCCTCCTCGCTTAGCTGCGCCTCGAGATCAGAACACCAGAGATCTGACATCTAAAGCTCCTACAGCTCGAGAGACTGGTGGTCGGTCAGTACACGACCAGCAAGATCAACATCAGTCTCATGATCCTGTGTTCAGTCAGCAGCTTTCAGAAACGGATCATAAACAGCCACCACGTTCGGTTCTAACAAAACGACCTTCGACCGTTCCTGAAGACTGCACAGGGGAGGAACGTGCAGAAGCAGACACCTCAGCGGAGGGGATCGAACATGCGCCGGTCGAGCGTTCCTTGCCCCAGACCAGATCAACAGTCCGGACACCAACACCTGAAAAGTTAAAGGATCTATTGCCGAGTTCTATTATCAGCTCGCCAGAGTCTACTAGCTCAATCGGTCCTGAACGGGAATCCCGGCTGTCGCAGGCTCGCCCGCCGAGCAGCAGTCCCGGGAGATCCACCCGCTTCTCCGATCAGCTCTCGGTTATGGGCCTTGTTGGCGAACATCTGCACCAACCCCCTCCCCGCTCAGTTTCTCCCGCCAAATCAGCAATGAAGAATCCGAGAAAATGCTCACTATCCCCTGATGGAAGAAATGGGGCAGTGCTGCGGCCCGGGCCAGCTCTTAGCGAGCTCTCGGATGGGACATCTGCTGGATCTGATGAGGGTTCTAGGCTTGGGTTCCGAAGAAAACCTGTCAAGGTTAGCTTTGATGACGAGGCAGAAATTGTTGGGGTGGCTGCGAGTCCACCAACCTCCCTAGAAGATATTGTTTTTGAGTCGCCTCCAGTGAAGCCCAAGGGGAAGACAAGTTTGTTTGGAATTAGTAAAAGGAAATCTGCTACAGTGGGGTCGGATGAATTTGATGAAGTATTCAAGCCTCGGCCTGAGCTCCCCTCGTTTGGTAGCATACGAAAGACTAGGGATGGTGAGCTGCGAGAACCTGCCCGGCAGGATATGAGTGATAATGAATCGACAACTTCCTCAGATCCTTCTGTGTCTCCAGTCTCCTTCTCGAACGACCATGCAATTGGAGCTATCATCTCAAATACACAGTCACGAGACGCCAACCCCAATGTACAACTCGACCAAACACCATCACCTACCCCTGCGATGACGGCTCAGAGTGGAGCACCCATGTCAGAACTAGGCGAAAATAGTTGTGTTTCAAAACAAGACACACAAACTAAACAGGATACTCGGTCAGTATCATTAGATTCACGTCAAGAGAAGAAGCTGGGGACCAGCGAAAGCTTGGCAGTCCCTGGGATTGCAGTTCAACCAGCCACCCCAGAAGGCGAAAGAGGGCGGTCGAGCCTTGATTGGTATACAGTACCGGGAGGATTTCCGCGGTCGTCTTTGGAGCTTGATAACACAATCCACGACTCTACTAGGCGGAAAGGCAAAAAACATGCCCCAGGTGACCCTGCAGCTGATGCGACTCGGAGCAATATGAGCGATGAAGACGAATCTGGCGAGAGCATCTACAGTGACGCTGAGGAAGGACTTGAGGGTGATGGTTTTGGTTCTATCAATGCTGTGGTTGATGAGCCTACGTCCACCCAGTGCAAAGATGCAGTGGAAGTTAATATGACCACGGATAACATACACAGCATTGACCAAGTACCTCCGAACTTGGCTGACATTCCCCAAACCTGTCAAATTGCTCGCCTGGCAAATCCAGTACACACTATATCCCTCTCGCCGGTTCCCGAATCCCCAAGCTCATCACATGAGCGCCTTCCGTACTCGTCTCCATACCCGCCGTTTCCCAAACGGTCCAACAGTAGGACGAGTGCGCGAGAAGCCCCCCGCTCCTCTATGGCTGTGGGTACAGTAAGACGGTCTATGTCTATGTCAGCAGACGCTCCCGACAGTCGCCATGCGCGTGAAACAACTAATTCAGTTGTTCATGGCCCGTTACAACCACAGTCTGGAAATATTTCCAATCAGCCGCGTCACAGGGCTGGCGATGAACAGATCAAGAAGCGACCCGCTTCGTGGGCCCCAAACCTGCTGAAAGGTGCCCTTGATGACGATCTATATGTTAATGGGAAAGGCCCCGAGCCTCAAAGGCCACTATCAAACGGTAGTGATTCATCCAGCAGCTTCAAGAGGTCTAATCGCCCCCGGACAGACTCCCCGCATACAATACGACGGACTCTGCGAGGTCCTTCAAGCAGCCCCCCCAAAGCCTATTCTCCTCAATACACAAAATCACCACCTCCCAATAGCCGACCTCTTTCATCTGGTTCAGGTACCGGTGCTCTGCGTGCTACTCTGCGATCAAACGATACTCGGCGTGAGAAACCTGCTTTCTTCTCTACCGGAAAAGTGCAGAAGGCCAGGATTACAAAGGCTTCAGGAGCATTATTCACGTCACGATTCGCGGAGTCGGATGATGAGCAGGGAACGAGTCAACAGAAATGGAAAAGCCGGTTTGAGGATTCGAGCGACGATGAAGAACGTGTGGTGAATAATCTCCCTCCCGTTCGCGGCATACCCCGACGGGCAGGCGCCCATGATGGTGACTCAACAGAGTTAGAGGATAGCTCTGATAATGAACGGCCTGGCTTGATTTCTAGGGCTACCAAGGCGAAAGAAAGTGACGTCAGAACTGCTCGAAACCCTGCGCTTGCCGCGGTGGCTAAGTCCCGCGGGATGTCCGAGGAAGAAATGGAGGAGTTTCTCCGACAACCCAGTGGACGCAAAGGCAGTCTATTTCATCGTTTAAGCATCCGAAAACCGAAAGTACCGTCAGAGCGTGGGACTTCCCGATCTCGCTCGGAAGCCAGGAACGGTTCTCTAGATCCTGAACAAGTGCGGGAGAACCCTGTGCTTGATGATACTCGGGGAAACACCGTCACAACAATAACTACAAACAACACTAGACCATCCTCCTCTCCCAGGCGGCTCAAGAGGGGAATCTCCAGATCTTCGAATGGCGATAGTTGGCCCCTCCGCTCCAATCGCAAGGAGACGGACGCAGGTGCTCCGCTCTCTGCTCTGCGTTCTTCTGAGCGACCCCAAACGGCAGATGGAGCCTTTCAAAATGGCAACATGTTGTCAAAAGCCATGGATGCTAGCACCAAGAAAGCCGATCTAGCTGGTACCAATACCACAGATGCCATGGACGTGGAATTCGCCACCGGTCGAAAGAAGCGATTCCCTCGACTCCGGAAGGCGTTTGGCCTACGAAGCTAGACGACATGGTCTGCTTTGTAGCATACATTCTATTCTTCTTCCAACATCTATGGACCATTTACTTTAATATATGACTTTTCCTCGTTTGTTTATTTATATTACATCTGCCTGCTGTCTCTGGCTAGAGGGCTCCAGGTACAGGGAGTTGGTGGAATAAGGGAACAAAAACTAATGAGATACGGTTCACCTATATACGCTTTCGGTGGCCGGGATTTCTCGACACCACAATACTACTCTAATACTGCTATTTGATACCCCTATTGGAGATGATATTCCTTGGCTAGCAGACCTGTGCCGGTCAGATACCAGGAATGATTCTCTTGATTTGATCTGACTTCATTTGTGATCCCTTACATTTATTTATGATTTGTATAATGAACTTTTGGGTCCATTGTTGCTAATCTATAATTAATTACTTTTGTGTGATTTTTCTCTTTTGTCTCTTTTATTGTCCATTGGATTCATATCTGGTGGCTCGCCGCGTGCTGGAGGCAATTGGGCGAATAAAGAGACTAGGGCAGAGATAATGGCATCTTCAATTCTAATATAATTGAATATTTACTCTACATTACCATACCTTTTGGCAAGAGACGATAGTGATGAAGTCTCATATCGAGGGTCGATGGGTTAAGATCCTTGCGCATTACCAGAAAATAGCCAATTCATTTTCCCATTATCATCTAGTCTTCCTCCAGGGTATGGATATAGATATATATATATATTATCTTAAATCATAGACCTCCTTATAATCAATCAAGAAGAGAGCATAAATTCCAGATAACAACTAATGGGTACTATATTCGCCAGGCACATCTATATAAAATTAATTCAACGTGTGATCCCACCATCTATGAGTTGAGATTACCTATGTAATAGCCCTAGTCAACGCCCCGTCTAGCTGCTATCTCAACGCAAAAGTCAAAAGTTGACAGATATACTGGTCGTCTCGCAGCCAACCCAACACGATAAGTATATCATGCTGCACACTTGACTGCTTAATCCATTGTTATCAAACTTGTACTGCCGGCTAAGCGTCTTCTATTCTAGGATTATCACGAAGTTCTGTATTCGCATTTCTATGATATAACACGGATATATAAAGAAGGATAACTGGGGTACTATTCTAGTATCAAGACAGTAAATATTGCCGAGGAACAGGTGAGTTATAGAATGCTTCGCATAACCCTAACATAAATGGTAGGTACTGAGCGGTGGGTAGAAGAGGGCCAGTCTATAATCCACCAGCGAGCGTTGTTTAGTGGAGGCGAAGAACTGGTGTATATACAATTCGTGTGGGTATGAATGCTACCGAATCAAGCATTACTAACTACGCTCGTGGGCTTACCTAGTTTGTCTCTTCTCTGTGGTGCAGGATGCTGATAAGACAGTTCCAGGTTGCTGTGATACCATTTACCCTCACGCAGAGTTCTTTCTCGAAGGTGCTTTCCTCTGCATTGTTCACAAGGGTGAAAATGGGTCATTTACTTGCGATCAAGAAGAGGACAGTGGTGTGAAGTAGGGCACTATAACCAGCTGTTAACTAGGTATAGAGACATACTTGCTGATATAGGTGGAATCATGGGCTGTGTTCAAACTTGACCAGGTGCATAACTCCTTTGTTGCCCCTCTGGACGAGCCCATCATGCTTGTACAGTAGTATGCTGCGGTCAGTACGTAGCGGGCATGGCTTGTTGGCCTTTCTTCCGGCGCAGAGGCAAAAGGTTGTGGCCAAAGTGAAGGATTCTTCGGACTTCCCCACGCCGAGCAAGAGGCTGTATAATTTGACACACAGCATTCGCCATCGAACCTGTAACACCCTGTGATGCAGCAGCATCTTGGTTCTTAGGAAACACAGGTGGGCCATGTAGAAAGCAATCGAAAATCCCTCAGCGTCTCAAAAGTGATCCAATCACAAGTAGATATTCTCATAGAGACAAGATCGCGAGAGTCATCTGATGCCATCCGAGTACCCGCAGAACCCCTTTCTTGCGGCTAATTGATAGTAGTGAGGTAGCTGAACATGCTCTGGAAAGTATCATTGATATTTTGAGGAGCCCGGGCGTCGAACACCCGGACATGCTGAAAACCCCAGTGACCCGAGGACCTGGGCTGCGGAGCCTGCAATGGCTGGCTGAGCAATAAGCGAAATCAATTTAGATCGCAAATATGCAGGCCCGCATACACTCTTCACGAATTTGTCGCCAGCATTTCCGGTACAAATCTCCTTTAACTTTGGTACAAGTCTGCTGGGTGGTGACGCTGCTATCCACGCTAGTCACCATTGCGATCTAGCCACTATGGGGCTTTGTATGAACGAGCAAGGGGCTAGGAGGATCCACTGCAAGATAGAATCAATTTATTCTTGCGTTATACCTCTGCTGGGCCCGCATATGTGGAGAGTGTTCTCCCATGGTAGTTATGCTTTCATACTACTCCGTACGGAGCACTTCCGTTCGATCACCGATGTATATCACGCCGCGGTCAAATGTGGAGAGCCATTTCGTATACAGCGCCGCCTGCTGTGTTAGTATACAGCTCGGAAGGGTCAGCTCTACTCAAAAGGGCGATCCGCAAGCGGCACCGTATCAACAATATCTCCTCCGTACTGCCTCCAAAGTTCAAACTAGTGACATCTCCGGCAATTCGGCCAGTCGCCTACGTAGGAGTTTCTCAGCCCAGAGGCGATCATCGTCAGTACGCGGTTCTAGAAGGCACGAAGTACTACCTACTACAGAGCTTGACTCTCATATTGGGCTTTTACGTACTCCGTAATGTCTCTTTCTTCCTCCTTTGGGATGATGGATCGCCCACCGTGGTTCACTTCGGTTAGCCGCATGTGGGGAATTGCGGCAGTGAGAGGCTTAAGCAACTTTTAGTTCTGATACCGCGGACTGTTCGGAGTTCTAATCACACTGTACACCGTACTATGATCATACGTATCTGGCTTCAGCTGAGAGTCAATAGTACCGAATATCAGTTTCCATCAATTGTGGAGGAGTTGATCACCACGGGGAACCTGATTCCGGTAAGATTTTCGGGTGCTCTCCACTCTGATCGATGGGGACGATGAACTCTCTCCACAAGAGGAAGCAAAGGTACATAGCCAGCCACCTAAATTGTATTCGATGAGGGCAAGGCTAGGCCTGTGGCTAGCAATTCATGAATCATCAGACAGCTGTGGCAAAAAGAAGGAAAAAGAAAGAAAGAAAGAAAAAGAAAAAATCCCAGAAAGAAAAAGCCAATGCACGGGACCCGTTGGAAAGACAAGGTTCAAGGGAAAAAGCGAGGCTGGCGCGCGGGCGAGCAGGTGTAAATCCAGAGCAATCACGATCGATCTCGGACGCACACTAAGTGGAGCCCAGAGCCGAGGGTAACACAGGCGGCGGAGCAGTACAACTCCAATGATGAAGTTCCACGAAGGCAGGTAGCTGAAAGGAGCTGCACAAGCCGACGGTGGACCCGGCTCTGATAGGTTCCAGCCCATTGCAATAATTGACTCCCGGACTTCCATAGTAGAGGAATTGAGGTGAGCGACAAAAGTCGATCACCTCACATTTCAACCCGTAAAGGACGAAGGATTATGACCATGAGCCGATACCCGTAGCTACCAGCGTCGATCACCTGGAGCTCCGTGCCAAGGGATCCAGATGCCCGATTCGCCCCGGAAGAAGCGAAGGTTGCCATGGAGATTCGAAAGTGGGTGCTGGTCAAGGTGATTCGGGAAAGCCTCCATTCAGCCCGCGTAAAATTAATTGATGCGCACTAAACCACGTATCAGCCCAGGATTTCAAAGGCTCCCGAACTATAATTGGTGAAGTGCATGTGAAGAGTCTTAGTTCTCACAGGAAAACAAATTAGCCACCCTCAAGCTCATTGATAGCGGTGAACGCCGATTGGACTAACTGGAGAGGGAAAAGAGAAAGTGGATGAGGTTGGATATATATAGCCGGAACCTTACTGCTTCTTTACGTCTTTTGCACTCGGGGGGGTGTGCTTGATACGAAACATGTCATTAGACAATGACTTGGATGGATGTATTGGGGATGTATCAGCTTCCTAAACCGGAGGATGGAATGGACCTCGGGAGAAAAGGGCGGACGGGCGAAATTTTCAGAGATAGAGAGACAATTGAATTGATAAGATGAACTTTGACGAGGGGAGAGGTTGGTTTCCCCCACCCCAAATCGGGGAAAGCGCCGTAAACAAACGCGTGTTGTCAACAACAACCAAACCGATCGTAATGAGAATACTTGGGAAATGGTGTTATTATTTCAGCTGATGCCTTTCCCAACCTCTCCTCCTCTTCTTTTCTATCCATACTTATCCTCTCAACTTCTCCCCTCCTCAACATTCCTCAAACCCTTAAGCTTATCTCGCATTCCTCTCATCAGGAATTCGTCTCCGCTTTTATACTTTTATAGATCTATCCATCGGATCTATAATCGCCTCGTTCACCTCCACTTTACTTTCCCCACGAGAAAGACTACCCCTTAAAGAGTCTTTTCTTGTCTAGCCTTTCGTTCGTATCAGTTCGAAAGGCATTCGAGAAAAGACCACCAAAGGACAGCCAATCTGGACTTTGACGCTCGTGTCCCCATCCCCTTCAGTGTCTTCCCGTCGTCGTACCGGAGTGACGCTGTTCCTGAGCCTACTCCTGAAAGAGTAGAGGGAGAAGTCAACCTCGATCGTCCTTCGCACGTCGAGCGGGAAGATACTCGAACCTCTGCTCCTCTCCCAGATCCTCGTATCTACGGAAAGGAAGAGATCGATCTACACGTCCAGCGCGACTCTCGTCCTATCCCGCCCCCTGCCCCCCAGCCTGACCAATACTCGGTTTACACCGAAGACCGCTTCCAGCACCAGGAGCAGCAGCAGCAGCAGTACAAGCCCTATCCTGAGGTCGATCTCGCGCGTGAACGGTATGTTTATCGGTTATTCTGCATCTGAGCTCAATTTTGGAGCTCCGATCTTCGTGAACTATTGATTTTCTGGTGGCAAGC